AAGACGCTGAGCTTAGATGCTTGCATTGTATGCGAAATTTCAGACGAGCGGGTTATTCGTTGCGCTGGGATCGGCTGTTTTCTTTCATTTCACGGGGAGTGTGTGAACGCTGAGGATCTTGCGAATTCATTCTGTCCTTACTGCTGGTTCAAATTCCTAACAACGAAAACGAACTCATTGAGAGAGAAGGCCGTTGAGGCGGAGAAGGCGGTCTCTAAGTATCTAGATAAAGAGATGAACAGCACAGAGAGTGTTGTCAAAAGTCAAGAGGATGCAAACTTATCTGGTGATGAAGATGGAAACGAAGAGCGTTCAGAAGACGGTACTGACATTATAAGTGATCAAGAGTTGCAAGGAGAGAAGGATGTGTGTTCATCAAAAGAGGAACAAGTGGAAGCTGAGAATGATTCTGATAAATCAAAGGGTGAGACGATGCCTTTAACTGAGGAAATCGATCAACCAGAAGAGGATAAAGGGAAGTTGGAATCAGGAGATAAAACTATAGACGAGAATGAAGCATCGGAAGACGAAGAGAGGGTGGATACAGAGAGATTTCAAGATGCTGAAGATGACAAGGACGACGAAACAGCTAAAGATCAAACTAACGTCAATACACGTGCAGGGAAAAAGGGAGAGGCTTCACCGTTTTTGTCTATGCAAGAATCGTTTTCAGGAAAAGAACAAGAGCAGGTCAAGCAGAATGAGAAGCCAAGAAGGAGAAGACAGCTAGTGTTGAACGATATCGACAGTGAAATCTCGTCAAATGAATCAACTAACGAACGAAATGGAGAAGATGTAACTGGGAAGATAACTTCATCGGCTAAAGTAACTTCTCCGTCAGGGAAGATGAAGAACCACCAGAGAAAAGTTAGCGAAACAACCAACGTGGCTAAGCCAAAGACAGCGAGGTTGTTCCTTTTTCCTTCATTCACTGGAACATGAATAGTATCTTAACTCATTTCCACATTAACTGTAGAAAATTAACTCATGGATTTGCAGGGACATTTTTTTTAACAAGGATCAGAGGAGGAGGCTGTATTGGACGTTAAAAGAAGAAGAAATGCTGAAGGTATAATAAACACTGGCCGTTTTTTTTCTATCATCTCATGAATTGGATAAGAATTGTTATTTATATGTGTTGACTCAGGTGGGAGTGGAGAAATTCGCAGCAGAAGCAAACAAGTATATGCCATGGAGAAAAGTTCTGGAAATGGGAAAAGATGTGTTCCACGAAACACGAACGCCGGCTGATCTCAAGGACAAATGGAGGAACATGATCGGCAGAAGATGAGGAGAAAGAACGAACAATACAGCACACTAAACCCTGGTATGCAACCAACAGTTAGAGACTCATATAAAAGTTGAAGTCAGACTTAGTGAAGAAGTAGAAGAAGAAATGAAAGTTGAGCTGTATAGGCAAAAAGTAGCTCATTTACAAAAAAAAAAACTTGACTTCTACTTTATGGCTTTCTTAGTCCTTTGTTTCTTAATGCCACTCTTTACCAATAGACGAAGATTGACGAGATTTATTCAAATGGTTGTGTGCCAGATTGTGTTGCATATGCTCAGAGGGATACGTAATTTGTCAAAAAGTTGGTTTTCTATTTGGTTTTTGCCGGTAATAATGTTTCTAAAACCATATGGGAAAAAAAGAATGAAAGTCAATAGATTTAGAGAATAAAATTTCCAGCTTGGGGCTTATAGCTTATTGAATAGACTTATACATTATCAAGTGTGTCTCTGCCTCTGTTTATAGGAAGAAGGAGAAATTAAAAAAAAAGGAGCATGATGTGTCTGGTTTATATGATACTGCCTGTTGGGATAAAGGCGTCCTTGATAACGGTTACAATTCCGCTCTTTATGAAATAACCTTCTGTCTCTCTCGCTGCCTCTTGCACGTTGTCGCTGTTTATGATCTGTGCCAAAAGTTCAGACCAAACACTTTCTTAAGACCAGAGCAAGTATGAACAAGAAAGATAGCATACATATCTCTTAGTGTATAGGTGTTCCAAAATATAAAACCTTACCTTGACATTGTCGCCAATACGTGCGTTTTTGTCGATGATGGCCCTTTTGATGTGCGAGTTTTTACCGATACCTATTGGTACACTTCCTTTCGCGGTTAGGAGACTCTTTTCCGAGGCAGTCTAGGAAAAAATACAATAAGAAAAGAAGATTTGCTCATCAAGAGGTTGATGATATTATCACAATCACTTAATTCAAGTGGATTTGTGAGAGAGAGATGGGGTTGCATTTACCTCGTAATAGTCCGCTCCCATTAGTAACGAATCTTCGATAATAGCACCTTCTGATATGCAGGAGCGGAGTCCAATCACTGAGTGATGAATTTTGCAGTTCTGCATCCAAAATTCATACAGATTTTAGGTGATTCGTTGTGTTGTATGTAAAGCATATAGAAGAGGAAGCTATTTGATTTTTACCTTGATAACGCAGCCCTCTCCGATGACACTGTCCGTGACATCAGCATCGAGCATCTTTGACGGTGGTAAGTAACGTGGCTGTGTGTAGATAGGAGCGGAACGATCATAGAAACTGCCATCAAGAATTCAAAATCGTTAAGATATCATTCAGATACATTAGAGTTTATATATTCCCCTTGTAATGTAGTAGCTATACCTAAAATCAGGAATTGGTTTTTTGGTGATTCCGAGGTTTGCGTTATAGAACGCCTCTATAGTACCAATGTCTTCCCAGTAGCCATCGTATAAGTAAGCTTGCACCTGCAAAACGTCATCAAAGTTACCAGGTTTTGCTTCTTATAGCACCATCAGCTACAACTACATGTTATAAACATCAACATCAAAGCTAAGCTAGTGTAGTAGAGAAAGCACTTACCCTCAGTCCAAGGGAAGTCGCACCGGGAATAACTTCACTTCCAAAGTCATTAGCTCCAGGAAACTTGTTCCGCAGTAACTCAAGCATCACATCTTTGCTAACAACGTAAATACCCATACTAGCAATGAAAGGCATCTCCTTGGCTCTCTTATCATCAAGACCTAGAATCGTTGTGTCAACCTAGTAAAAACCAAGAAATCAAAACTTTCTTAACAAGATAGTTGCAAAGCTTATTGATGAAGCAGAGAACTAGCGTTACCTTCATGGCCTTTAGTTGCTCCCCTTTTGGTTTCTCGGCAAATTCAACAATACGTCCTTCCTCATCAATCTTCATCAACCCAAAAGCAGTAGCTCGTTCCTCATCCATCGGTAATGCAGCTACTGTGATATCAGCATCAGTCTCCCTATGTGCTTGAATAAACTTCTCATAATCCATTCGATACAAATGATCCCCCGCAAGAATCAGATACTCCAAAACATTATGCTCCTCGAACAACCACAGATATTGCCTCACTGCATCAGCCGTCCCCTACACAACCACACAAGTTACAGAACAAAACCCACAAGCCACAACATCAGTCACACAACGTTATATTTTACCTGGAACCAGTTGGGGTTTTCAGGACTTTGTTGAGCGGCAAGGACTTCAACAAAGCCTTCGTTCTTGTAACCTCCCATGTTGGACGCGTAAGCTCGTGAAAGATGGCGATTCAGAGACGCGGAATTGAACTGCGTGAGGACGTAGATTTTGTTGATGTTGCTGTTCAAGCAGTTGCTCACGGGAATATCAATGAGCCTATAGTTTGCGCCAAGAGGAACAGCTGGTTTCGCTCTCTTCTTGGTCAGAGGATAGAGACGAGTCCCAGCTCCACCTCCTAAGATGATCCCCAAAACACTCTGCCATGGAACAACAAAGTGTCAAGATCACAATCAGTCTATTAGTAGATCATCAAATCCCAGCTACATTTCTCGTAAGCAATTCCCTGACAATCGTATCAGGAAGAAGAGTGAAGCGATACTCACCCTGCTCGCGTCAGGATCGAGACAAGTCTGGGAGTTTTGAGAATCGGAGACAGCTTTAGGAGAGACGATCATCGGAGTCCTACCTCGGCTACGAGCAGCGGATTCGAGGCGACGAGAGACGGTCGCTCTGAGAGAAAGCTTCTCTTCGGATAAACCTAGAGATGAAGAGAAAGAGAGAGACCTCGTAGGAACCGCCTCCGTGAGTGAATCGGAGCTGAAAGCAGCAGGTGCTCTAAGAACTCCAATTGCAGCCATGGACGCCATTTTAGTTACTGTCTTGTGTTACAGAGTGAATCGATCACGATCACGATTACGATCAAATCTGAAATCGCTACAGGAGAAGGAAGGCAAAATTGAGAATTGGAGTGGGGGACGGACTCTGCTTTTGTCTTGTTATTGTGGGAAAGTGAAAGATATGTGTGATTTTAATTAATTTTGTTTCTCTTTTGGGTTTGCGATGGGGTCTCGGGAACACCGTTAGCTTTTCAGGCTGATTTGCTTAACTGGAAATGACGTGAAAGCCCTTTTAAGTACGTTACTTCCTTTTTTGGCGGGTTAAGACAACAATAGGTGCTTCGGGAATATCAAAGTTTATTTACAAATTATATTTTCCAGATTTCGAAAATCTAGAGAAGGGAGAGCAATTATTTGAGAGCCGGAGTCAGAGAATAATTGGAAAAATATGAAATTTCAAGATATCTTATTCAAACTGAGGTTCGAATAACGATGATGGTAAAATGGACGGCGTGGAATCAGTCTTAAGATGGTTTGAACTTTAGATGATTAGTTAGTTGGTTAAGAACTTAGCTCATGTATATAAGTCAATGTTCATTTTGAATGGGTAACAACATATTTCTTTTATTTCATCTAAGTTTAAGGTCAGTGGCTTAATTGTTTGTAAAAGAAAAAGAAGCCTTTGCTCTCTCTTTGATATTAGAATGTAAGGAAACACATTCTTGGCCTAATACTATGATGGTGCTAATACAAATACTTTAGTAGGCAGTGCATAAAGAGCTTTATTCATGTGACTAAGTGGTAAAAAACGTTGCTTCTTTAGTGTTTACAACAAAGAAAACATTGGTGATCATGGTCACAAACTGAGGTCTCTTCTTCATCAATCTTTACAAGATTGTGCAATTGGGTTCGTGATTGTAAACGGGTTCCCCTATGTAGTCGCGGGGGTCGCACGGATAGGGAAAGGCGGAAGGCACACCATATCCTTGGGGACATGGATAACATGGCATGACTTTTTTCTTTGGAGGTTTCTTATCACCACCATCTTTCTTATCACCACCATCTTTTTTGTCACCATCTTTTTTGTCACCGTCTTTTTTAGCTGCGTCCTTTTTGTCCCCTTCCTTCTTCTCCTCAGGTTTCTTTGGAGGTTCGACTTTGGTTACGCTAACAAGCTCTGCAAACGCTACTTTCCTCCTGAGTTTTTTGGTGAGGCCGATCATGTCAACTTCGGTACCGGTTACCTCTATCTGGTTCCTGTGATCGCCTTTTATTTCAACGGCTGACACACCTATAAACCATCGCATAAAGCGTTGGTTGGTTCCAATATAGATTTGTATCTTTTTGTGAGGGAAAGTCTTCTTACCTGTAAACTGAACGGCTTTGTTCATTGCTTTTGCTCGTGTTTTGTCATCGGTCATAGTCACTCGTATCAAGATCTTTTGCTGCATTTGAAAATGATAAAATTTTATAACGTCAATCAAAGAAGCCATATAAACACATACATACACCTATACTTGCCTTCATCTTGCTGTTTGCTTGAGAAACAGCTTTGAATGTTTGCCTTGGATTTCTCGGTCTGGTGTAGAATACAAGTCTGAAGAAATGTGTTTCTATGGTGTCTTTTCTTCTGATTAATGAGTTGTTTTAAGATTGTTAAGATTTCGTTTTCAATTCGTTATTAACAAAAGCATATAAAACCAAAGCTCTTCTTTCTTTTTGTTTCTTTAGAACTATTGCATATTGTAAAAGGTTATTCACAATTCTTTTGTTAAATTGTGGACGAAGGAACACAAAAGCGACAATCTGATCCCGTTGTACGAACTTTTACCTTTTTAGGTTGTAGTATAAAAAAATATTTTGACTATAGAGAAAAGCTTATAGCATCTAGAGATTTAAGATGATTACTCGGGAAGAAAAATATTGTGGATCCGGTACAGTTATAGTAGAATATATATCTACAGTTTTTATGACATGTTTTTTTTTTTGCTAACCTAGTATCCAGACCACATTTGTGAACCGACTAGCCTACTGGACCGAAGTCCACGACCAGGGATTTTTAAGCATCTGTTAGATCCGAGATAGCACGTTAAGACGGGCTATCAAAGATGTGAGTTTAGGAAACTGGAATGCTTAATTCGACTCAAAGAATATCAAGGAAGTTACAAAGAGGTTATCTCGCTAACAAGCCTAGCGAGATAATTATGATGAACCAGAAGAAAGAGTAAAGCGGGAGCAAAAGCCTAGTGATTCTAGATGATTTCGGATGCCTTTTCCCCGATGAGGGATCTTCAATATATAGTATTGATAGGTTGGTTGAAGATGAATATCTTCCTTTGAGCGAGACGGAAAACTTCCTCTTTTGCGATATGAAAAACTTCCTCTTGTTCTTGATCTCTTTCCATTCCTTAAATTGGCATGAAGATTTATTTACATTTCTCCATGGATTGTGCCTTTTGTTGAGGAGGTTAGGCCTAAAGTTGGATTGGGCTTTGTGACTTTACTAATGATGACGGACTCAGGGAAATGTGCTAATTTCTCCTCTAACAGCCACTAAAGGGCCCTCTGGAACTGGTGGTCTGGGACACTGCAGCCGGTATGTAAAATTCGCAGTGGCCAGGCGTCGAACTCTGATGGCGGGTATCACAGCCGTGGGTCCATTATTACCAGACTATGTTGGTAAAACATACTTTGGAAATGCTGTAAAAACAGTAAAAATCCTTATATCTCTATGTTTTCTCCAATATTTTCAAACATATGAGAAAGATCAAAGGCGGATCTACGTTAGAGGAAGGGGATTCAGCTGACACCCCTTAAATAATATATATTTCATTTGTTACATTGTACATTAAGTAATTCACAGCATAGTTGGTTAAAAATTTCCTCTCTTGACCCCCCTAATCCCGGTTCGAGTCTCCTCTAGTGACACCTATAATATTTTGACCCAGGTAAAAATTATTCCTAGGTCCGCCACTGAGAAAGATGATGTCTCATGAAAGAAAGAAACAAAATATTCTTTTGTGAAGAAGATGTATGAGCAAACATTATCTTCTTTGAAGATATACGAGAAAACATTATCTGTTTGAATAAGTGTAGACAAACTTGTGGGGTTTTGCTAGTTGGTGCTTAGAACTTGGAAGTCCAACTTCGCTCTACATTCATATAATAAAATAAATGAGAAACGACAGAAAAATTATATAGTAAGCAATTATTAGGTAAATGACTTGGATTGCGTAAGCTCTCAACCTTGAAACCAAGTTTCCGGTTTTATTAAGTTTTCCAAATTTTTGTTTTTTAAATACGTCATGACAAATAACCTAATTTAAATTGTCACCATGTGATCGCCGCAAATAGAAAGAGTACGGGAAAGTTTCTCGCAAATTTAGACATCACAACTATGACTCTCTTTTTTTTATTTTAGTGGTTAAATGTGAAATAAAAATGTAAATAAATGGCTTCGCCCGGGTTCGAACCGGAGACCTTCAGTGTGTTAGACTGACGTGATAACCAACTACACCACGAAACCTTGTTGATATCACATTTATCACTTCAGTTCAAACTTTAACTACGCCATAAATCAGTAAGATGATGATTGGTTCTCTCGCTATCACCTGCAGCGTTTGCGGTTCATAGTGATTCTTGGCGTTTTATAATAATTATGACAACCACTTTGAACCGCTGTATACCACTCCGTACCGCTTTATAACTCTGAAAGTCATTTCCGCAAGTGTTTGCGGTTGCAGGCGGTTGCGGATTGAAAAAAAAATCACGAAATTTCCAAATTTGAAATTTCAAACTAGAATAGTTATTCATATTTAAATTTTCAAACTAGAATAATTATTCAAATTTGAAATTTCTGAATAATTCAATTAGAACGAAATTTAATTAATAAAAATAAATTTAAATAATTAAAAAAATCATAATTTGATTTTGAATTTTTTCATTTTAAACTAATAAACATTTTTATTCCTAATTATCTGCTAAAATATTTTGTATTCTTATTTTTGTGACTTTATATTATGGTTTATGTGATATTAAAGTTGTTTATAAAACATTTTCTCTATATTTATCAATTTTTTAATTCTAGTAAAATAGTAATTACATCATAATGAGCTAGTAATGTGTTAGGGTCTGACTGGTTTAACCGCTGCGGTTGCGGTTGCGGGAGTTTGCGGCTGCGGGAGTTTGCGGAAGCGGGAGTTTGCGATTAAAAGCTGTTTGTACGACTGGTATAGCAATTCATAGCGGTTGCGTTTGCGGGATATTTTTGACTGGTTAGCCAGCGGGTGCAAGAGCGGTTTAACCAAAAGTTACTAAAATAAAAATAATATATAATTATTCAAAACATTTATAACCATATTAATAATTTTTTTTTTGAAATATATTTTTTGATGAATTTTTAATTTGAAAACTACCCTTTTTTTTTAAAAATACACTTTTTATATGTAAAATGATTATTCCTAATTTAATAAAAACGAAATTCAAATAAGAAATATAAAATATTAATATTTGATAATAATTTTGTATCATTTTAACATCCTAATTACCTGTTTAGTTTTTTTTAAACAATTTAATAAAAATATAAGATTGTTTATATAAAGTTTAAATGGGGTGAGATTAAAGTTGTTTATGCAAAGTTTCAAAAATATTTAAATTTTTCAAAAGATAAACATTAAAAATGAAAGATATATTTCTCCACTTTTAAATTTTTAATAATTTATAAACTTTAAATATATGTAAAGTTTTAATTTATTTAAAGTTTCATTTGGTTTGAATGTGTATGAGGTTAAGTTGTTTATATAAAGATCCAAAATATTAAAATTTGTTTCAGTTTAACATATACTATATTTATTTGAAAAAAAACTTATTAGTTTATTATTTTTTTAAATTTTCGTTTATAATTTGTAATTATTTATTATTTTTTTGTTTAAATCACGTCAAAACATACTTTTTACATTTTAAAAGTGTATTTTTCAAAACAGAAAAAATTTAGGGTATTTTCGAAATTTTTAAACATAATTATGGTATTTTTCAAAAAAATATACCCTTATTCCAAATTTGGAGATATTATGTTTTTTTTTTTTTTTTTTCAAACCGCAACCGCCCGCAACCGCAAACGCTTGCGGAAAGGAGCTTTTGATTTTCAGCGATATAGAGCGGTACAGAGTGGTATAGAGCGGTTGAAAGCGGTTGTCGTGATTGTTATAAAACGCTAAGAACCGCTACGAACCGCAAACGCTGCGTTTGCGGGTGGTAGCGGGAGAACCAATCATCACCTTAAAACAGTCTTTTTACATACAAAAAAATGCTTTTTTCAAAACAGGAAAAAAATTAGGGTATTATTCAAATATTTAAACATAAATATGATTGTTCTCTTTTTCAAAGAACCCTAATTACATATTATGTTTATTTTAGTAATTTTTAGTTCAAACGTTTTTGCATCCGCTAGCCAACCAATCAAAAATATCTCGCAAACGCAACCTCTATGAATTGCTATAGCAGTCGTACAAACAGGTTAATTACGTTTTTAATCGCAAACTCCCGCTTCAGCAAACTCTCGCAACCGCAAACTTCCGCAACCGCAGCTTTTAAACCAGTCAGACCCTAAAACAAAAAAAAACTATGCCACAAATTAGTTTTGATTTGTTCTAAACAGAGAATATCAAACAGAACACCAAGGATCTTAGTTTTCAGAGTAATAATAACCATAACATCACATGAAAAAACTGAAAGAGATCAAATAAAAACAAAACCAACAGACTAGTGCATGTGCATGCCTGCCAAAGGATGCTTGAAGACCTGGAGATTCAACACCGGAGTTTTCCTGAAGAGCTTCACACGATACTCCATTGAGAATCTCCAACAGTTGGGGTCGTCTTCTTCATCTCCTGTATCCACTCCATATTTATAAACAAAAGTTACACCGCTTATCTCATTGGTGAACACGATCGAGTCCCCACTCAAACCACAATCATCAGGAAGCTCTTCACCAGAGAAGCAGACATTCCCAAAGTGTCCTATAAACAAGACACGGCCTCCTAAATCACCGGCGATCTCGACCCATTTGCCAGCCTCCTCATCTAGCCTACTCACTTTGCATGTGTAGCTGAGAAAATCTAAATCATAAGCATCGTAATTTGGGTGAAATTTCTCAACCAGGAAGAGTTCTTCATCATCACCAAACGGAACCAAAAACTTGCCATGATCCAGAAGATCCAGCAGCTGAGAGGGCATTTGGGGAGTCCATGA